ATTAGCTAAGTTAGTCTGCAAGTCGTCTTTCCCAGGAAATTCTTAAACAGGCATTCATATTAGTTAAACTTTCAACCTTCTCTCTTAGGTGAAGGAATAAACTTTTATAGAAAATTCATGTTAAAATCTGTGTAGGTGGAGGGAGACCCTTGGCTGACTTGCTCTTAGGCCCTCCATGTAGATCTTAACCTTAAGTTAATCTCAGTTCTCGACCTCCTCTACTGCCTAGCTGCTGAGTGGAGTATGAGGTGTGTCTTTGCTAGGTTACCAGACACAGTTTCCTTAGGACTGTGGCAGAGAAGCTCCCAGCGGTGTGATCCTCACTAGAGGGCTGCTTCCTCCTGGCACAGACACCAAAAAACTTTTCATGGAAGCTTCTCTCTGGAAAGTAGTCTTGACAATCTCTAGTCAATGACACAGGACCTCAGCTGTCCCAGACCTGTGTGCAGTGTTCCTGAGTATCTGCTGGGTCTTCTGCTTGGCGCCTGCGTGGACTGGTGATGAGAGACACGTATGTGACTCCTTTCCCTTCCTTCATCCTCGTTATCACCCTAGAACCGTGAACATCGGTGTTCTTGTTGCAAAGGTGATTATTCAAATTTATTCAAGCTTTAGAGTTTAAACTCAAATTTCAAAACCTTCTCAAAAAGTCTTATTCCTCAGTGTCTTTTCATGCTGTCTGAGTGAATATTTTGCTTATTTTGGCCTCATTCTAGTTTGTCCCTATGGGAATGATCCAAAAATTAAGCTCTTGCCAAGAACTTTTAAAACCCACATAAATGTTATTTAAATAGCACCTTAAAAGAAAGTTCTGTGTGTTCCAAGAAGCTTATGTTTGTAGGTCACTCTGGAGGAAGTTGCATGAGACACATTAGAACCCATTCAGGAAGACCAAGAACCAGGGAGACCAAGACCGTTTAGGTTCAAGGCAGGCATGAGGTTAATGTCCGTTATCACACTAAGTATCTGAATTGCAAGTGTGGGTGCCTTTACTAGAAGTATTCCGTCTCCTTCTTGTTTGTTTGTTTGTTTGTTTGTTTGTTTGTTTATGGAGATGGGGCTTGTGCCATGGCATGTATATGGAGATCAGAAGGAACTTACTGGGGTTGGTTCTCTCCTTCTAACCATGTGAGTTCCAGAGATCAGGTTCAGGCATCAGATTTAATGGTAGTTCCCTTAGCTGGCTGAACTATCTTATTGGGCTACCTGTTCTTTTAAAAACAGTGGATTTTACCTTGTTCTGGTGAGATGACTCCCATTAAATTAAACCTAAACGTTAGCATTTAAGATGTCTTAATACATCTGGGCTTAGTGGTACATACCTTCAATCCCAGTACTACAGGAGGCAAAGGCAGGTGGATCTCTGAGTTGGAGGCCAGCCTAGTCTACAGAGTGAGAAATAGTGAGACTCCCATCTCAAAAACAAAACAAGGGTCTTCTTAGATAGTATGTGTGTTTGATAGAGCCCATTCTAAAAGCTGACTCATACATGGTTGGGTTTACACACCTGTTTCTTCTATTGCAAGAAGAGGGCTTTTTATATTTACCCAGAATCTGAACTAACTAAAATAATCTTATGAATCAGGGTGAATTTCAGTATCCATAGAGATGCTTCTGAAGGTTTTAAATGTTTGTGATTTAAGCATTTAATACATGTATTAAAAGGAAACCCCATTTTATCATGGTTTTATAGACAGTCTTATTCTTCATGAGTGACAGGTTGGGAGCCATAGAAAAGGACCAAGAACTGCAACTTAGAGAGGCTGCAGGCTAGCTCAGCAGCAGAATACTTGATGAGCAAGAAGCCTCAGCTTCCATCCCTCCTGTTGCAAGAAATAAATTAATTTAAAATGTCATTTAAAAATAAAGGCATTGAGTCAGGTGGTGGTGGTGCACACCTTTAATCCCAGCACATAAAAGGCAGAGGCATGTAGATCTCTGTGAGTTTGAGGCTAGCCTGGTCTATAAATGGAGTGTTAAGGACAGCCAGGGGCTTGTTACACAGAGAAACCCTGTCTTGAAAACTTAAAAAAAACAAAACCAAAAACAAAAAAACTCCAACCAAACAAAAAGATGTAATTTGGAATAAAACAAACAGGAACTGTAAGAATCTGCTACAGGATAATGTGAGTGCGTCATTCCTCTCTAGATGATACTCTGGGTTTTCTCTGTTGTGTGTTGGGGGATGTTTTGCTTGCATGTATGTCTGTGCACCATGTGCATGCAGTGTCCTCAGAAGCCAGAAAAGGGCACTGGATCCCTAAGATCAGGGTTAAAGCAGATTGTGAGCTGCCATGTGGGTGCTGGGAATCAAAGCTGGGTCCTCTGGAAGAACACTTAAGTCCTCTTAACTGCTGAGCCATCTCTCCAGTCTGTATTACATATGATCAAACTAGAAAGATACCATAATTAGCTCAATCAAAAGGACATCATGGATAAACTAGACAGGTTGATTCTAAGGGTTGTATAGAAAAACAGGGAGTGAAGAGTAACTAATAACATTGAAAAGAAAAACTCCCAGAAGGGACAAGCTCTACCGGACATTTAAACGTTGCATAAAGTTTCTATAATTAACACTGTGGCACAGACACATAACTACAAAGGCAGTTATAGGACAGAAAGTCTAAAAATCCTACACAAGTACCTATGGAAACCAAGTAAAACGAGCACCCCTGCTCTGCAAATCTGATATACTTCAAAATCTGGTACAGTTTGTATACTGGCATGAATCTGCAAGTAGAAGGTTGCATCTGGCATTATGTGAGAGGTCAGAGTCAAAATGCAAGAACACTGCTGGCTGCTGCTCCACACTTGTAGTCATAGCTGGTAAGACGCTTGAAGCAAAGGCCACCGTGAACTACAGTTAAATACTGTCCAAAAGAAAAACAAGTGGTCTGGGCTTGGTGGCTTGTGATCCCAGCTCTTAAGAGGTCAAGGCAGGAGATATGTTGCCAATTCAAGGCGAGCCTTGACTATGGTAAGATCCTATCTCACTAAATGCAGTATGTGAAAAGAAGAGGAAATAAAGATAGTCTCTTTGTGTAGCCTGGCTGTCCTGGAACTCCCTCTGTAGACCAGACTTGCCTCAGAGACCCACTTGCCTCTGCCTCCTTGCTGGGGTTAAAGGTGTGAGCCACCACACCTGGCTAAATGAACTTTTTAAATGGGGCTGAGACAACTGCATAAACAAGCCCTGATTACTTACGAGCCTAAATGTAAGAAAACAAAGCCCTAGAACTACTAGAAGAAACCCTTTAGCCCTACAGAATAATGAGCAATAAAAATAAGTAACAAAATGGTACAGTTTTTGCAATGTGAGAGGCTTGGGCTAACCACATCCCTTCGTTAGACCCATTTCCATAGGATTGATTGTTATAATGACACCACCATTCTTTCTTTGTGGATTTAAAGGATAAATAACGTACTAAGGACAGGTGTGGTGGCTTCACGATTTAAACTGAAACTTGCCTAAATCTAGAGACCTTGCTAGGTTGTTTGCTTTGTTTAGAGGGCCAGGGGCAGTAGCGTGTGTAGATGTGTGATTTGAGTGACATAAAATTTTAAATTTCCTACCAGCCATATTAAAGAGGTTTTAAAAAAAGAAATGGGTAAAGATAATTTTAATGCTTAGGGCTAGAGATAGCACAGTGGTTAAGAATGCTTACTGCCCTTCCAGAACCACATCTGAGTTTGGTTCCCAGCTCCATGTGGGGAAACTCACAATTGCCTGTAACTCTAGCTTCGGGGATCTTATGATCTGATGCCTTCTTCTGACTCCCACTGGTACTTGAATATATGTGGCCACATACGTTCATTCAGATTAATACGCATAGAGATAAATCTAAGTAATAACTTTAATACTGGCTGGTCATGGTGGCACACACCTTTAGACCCAGCACTCTGGACACAGAGGTTAGCCTGATTTACTTAATGAGTTCCAGGCCAGCTAGAGCTACATGGTGAGACCTTGTCTAGAAAATGAATTAATAAAAAAGACTTAATTAATTAAAAATTAGTTAATGAATTAAGTACTGTACTCATTTAGCCTGGCATATGTCAAATATTCCCATGTATAATCAATTTTTGGTTTCGTTTTGTTTTGTTAAGGCTGGTAGGGTTGTACATGCCTTTAATTCTGGCATTCCAGGAAGGAGGTTAGGAGCTCTATAAGAGTATAGCCAAGGCTATGTCGTGAAACTCTTGTTGCCAAGAAAAACATTATTAAGATACTTGTTTTTCATGCTAAATTTGAATTGTAAGGTATTGTTCACATTTACAACCATCTCAGTGTTTGTGGCTGATGGCAACTATATGTCTTATACAATCCTAGATTGGGAGATATAAAATTATGATCTTACATTTTTTAAGAATTATTTTTTTATTTTATGTGTATGAGTGCTCTGTAGCTGTCTTCAGACACACCAAAAGAGGGCATTACATTACAGATGGTTGGTTGTAAGCCACCATGTAGTTGCTGGGAATTGAACTCAGGACCACTGGAAGAGCAGTCAGAGCTCATAACCGCTGAGCCATCTCTCCAGTCCTGACCTTACATTCTTGATAAAATGCTGATTACTTTGCAAATATAAATGGGTCTATTTTTGATAGTGAGAGTTTATAACATACTTTCAATAAGCACTTCAAGACTGTTAATCAGATGTTTGACTTATACCTATGACTCCAGCACTTGGAAAGCTGGGGCAGGAATATCCTGTTCAGAACTAACCTAGGCAAAATTCTGGTGTTTGTTTTGTTTTTCTAAAATTTACATTGCACATTATAAACTGTTCTCTGCAATCCTTAGTTTTTGGTTTTTTAGGGTAAGCCTGTTGAGCCAGCTTTACTCAAGTCTAATGTCACAGGTCCTGAAATTGCTGCACTGTAGGAGCAGTGGATCAGCTTTCTTGAGCTCTTTCCTTATGGCTTCAAGGTTAGAGCTCAGTGGTTTGCTATGGCTTTCGTGAGTATCCTTAGACTCACAGGAAATGTTTCTCTTTCAGAATTTGGTGTTCACCTGGCAGAGCTGACTGTAGATCCTCAGGGGGCACTGGCAATCCGTCAGGTAAGTCCAGGGTGACCCATTGATAAGTATTTTCCCTTCACTCAGTAACTTAGAAACTTTCTTAGGGGAAGGAGAAGGAATAAGAACAATGTATAAAACATGATTTTTGTACAGACTTAGATGATTCAAATATATCAAACCATAAATGTAGTTTTATATGTAAAAATAAGTCCTACCTCTTGTTGCACATGATGGCTTATTGTCTTCACAGCTGGCATCAGTCATCTTGAAACAGTATGTGGAAACTCACTGGTGTGCCCAATCAGAGAAGTTCAGACCTCCGGAAACTACAGAAAGGGTAAAGGCTAACGGTTACGTGTGGCTAATCTACCTACAAAGATTTGAGAGATAGTCTTAAGACACTCAGCACTAATACGACACTTCTTCCTGACACCAGAAAACAAGACTAGGAAGAAAGTAGATTGGGTGGCATTATGAGTGCTGTGCTACAAGTGTGCACAGGATGGGCTGTGTTCAAATCCCGTTCTGCCCTTCTGCAGGCCACGAGAGCATTGGACATACTTAGCTATAAACACTCAGTCACTTAAGTTTACAAAGTTAGAATTAAAATTACCAACTTCGAAGGGCTTAATAATTAAATAAAATGCTTCTTAGTACAATTGCTAAGCAACCACTCTGAGTATCCAAGAAAGCATGAGATATAAGTTCTAGTGGGTTAGAACCTTGTACAACTCTGGGAATGTTTTGTATGTATGATGTCCAATGAGAGCATCATTGTGGCAGAGAACTCTTAAATGTGGCTACTGTGACTGAGCAATGAAGATTGTCCCAAAGCCTGCTACTTACCGTCTGATCAATGACAAGTGTCCTTTCCTTCTCCTCAGGCAAAAATTGTTATCCGGGAGCTATTACCCAATGGGTTGAGAGAATCAATAAGCAAAGTGCGCTCTAGTGTGGCCTATGCTGTATCTGCCATTGCCCACTGGGATTGGCCTGAAGCCTGGCCCCAACTCTTCAACCTGCTTATGGAGATGTTGGTGAGCGGAGACTTAAATGCCGTCCATGGAGCCATGCGTGTGTTGACAGGTACCAGAAGCCTTTCCTTTGGTGTTGTACTTGGACCTTAAGTGAGAGGGGAACAATTAGAAGCTATGTGATAATGTGGCCTAGACCAAGGATCTTTTAAGTGTTTCTCCTCTCTTTTAGGTTTTTGTAAATGTTTTTCTTCTAGTTTTTATCTCTATAGCCAACAGAAGTGCTATTGATTCTTTCCCAGGGATTGAGTTAGCATAGTACTACTTATACTTCCAAATCTTTATAGAGTGATACCGTAGGCTGAGTGTATGATTCAGTGGCAGAGCATGCACAAGTCCCTGAGTTCAAGCCCCAAAACCACACACATACAAATACACAGGAATATACAGGAATGCCATAGCAAATAAATACTTAGATTTTTAGTTTGTTATTCTGACTCCACCTTGGCACTTTGCTTTGTCTCTTTGAGCCTTAGTTTCTAAGATGCTATCTTAATTTCTGTTCTGTTGCTATGAAGAGACACCATAACCAACACAACTCTGGTAAAGTTGAGGCTTGCTACAGTTTTAGAGGGTGAGCTCAGGATCATTATGGCGGGAAGCAGACAAGTATGGTGCTAGAGCAGTAGCTGAGAGCTTTATATCTTATTCTGCCAGCAGAAGCAGACACTGGACTTGGCATAAGCCTTTGGAACCTCAAAGCCCATCCCCAGTGACACACTCCTTCCAACAAGGCCACACCTACTCCAGCAAAGCTATACTTCCTCAAACAGTTCCATTCCCTGGTGACTAAGCTTCTAAATATATGAGCCTATGAGGGCCATTCTCATTCAAACCACCACAGAGGAGTTTTTGGTAGTTTACCTATGCTAATCTATGTAAAATGTTGAGCATAATAGTTGACATGTAGTAGTAGACCGAGTAACCTTTAGTTATCAGGCTTAATATAATTCTTGGGTATTGTTTCCTATTTAGCTGACTCTATATCCTCTTGAAAATGCCTCAGTAGTTTCATCTTTAAATAATAATATATAAACACATGAAATGAAGTGAAAGTGATTAAATTCAAAGACTTGTACTCCACTGCTTAGTTCAGCCAGGGAGAAATTAAGAGTAGTCAATGTTCAGCTGAGTGTGGTAGTACACGCCTTTAAACTCAGCACTCAGAAGGCAGAGATCTCTGTGAGTTTCAGGCCAGCCAGAGCCATACAGTAAAACCCTGTCTTAAAGATAGAACAAAAGAATAGTCAGGGCTAAAGATAACTGACTGGTTAAGAATGCTTGCTGCTCTTCCATAAGACTCAAGTTAGGTTCCCAGCACTTCTGTGCTGTTAGCTGCCTCTAACACTGCAGCAGTTTTCTGTCTGTAACTCCAGCTCCAGACCCAGTTACCTCTCAGCAGGCTCCTTCACTCATATGCATGTGCTTCCTGACCTCACACATGCAAATAAATGTAAAAAATTTTTTTCAATTAAGGGACTGGAAAGATAGCTTTGGTTAAGGACACTGGCTGCATAAAGAAAAGAAGAAGAAGAAAAAAAAAGAACACTGGCTGCTCTGGCTGCTCTTCCAGAGGACCTGAGCTCAATTCCCAGAACCCAAATCAGGTGACTCACAGTTGTCAGTGACTCCAGCTCCTGGGAATCTTGTGCCATCTTCCACCCTCTGAAGGAACCAGCACATATGTAGCATGCAAATACACATACTTAAAAACAAGTCTTTAATTAAAAAAAAAAAAAAGTAAGCCTAGTGAGATAGGGCTAGGGATGTGTCTGAGTTCTAGAAGCACATGTCTAGCATGTATGAAGACCTGGGTACAGTCTTCTGCACTGAAAACAACCAAAACAAAAATAATAAAATAACAAAAATAGTCAGATAAAGTTTTTGTAGAAATAAGAATTAAATAATTAAATAAGAATTAAAAGAATCTATACAATCCTGACCATAATACAATCAGCTCAGAGATGGCATATTCTTTGCTACCTTTTTCCTTATTTTCTCTCTCATGAGAAAATTTTAACTTTTAGTTCAAGGAGTTTTGATAGATATCTCTTATAAGACTGATTGACTTATCAGTCCTTCCAGAATTTACTTTCATATATCCGTAGGTCTGGCCTGAGTTTTCTGGTCCTTGTAAGTTCTGTCATATATTCATTCCCCTAGAGAAAGTCAGTAGGAAATCCTTCCACAAATACTGATCTGGAGCTGCTGGAAAGATACCTCAGTGGTTAGGAGTACTTATTGGTCTTGCAGAAGACCTGGGTTCAGTTCCCAGCATCCACAAGGTAGCTCACAGTTGTAATTCCAGTTCCAAGGGATTTGATTCCCTCTTCTGACTTATGTGGATATTGGACACACATGGTGCACAGATGTATATGCAGACAGGCACTCATACATATAAAATAAAAATAAGTCTTTAAACAATACTGATCCGAAAAAAAAAAAAAAAAACAAAAAACAATACTGATCGGAGGATGAAGAAATGACTCAGCAATTATGAACACATACTGCTCTTACATAGGATGCAAGTTTAACTCCCAGCACCAATGTTGGGCAACTCACAGTTAATGTAACTCTAGCTGCAGGCTTCTGACACTCTGGCTTCTATGAGCATGTGTCACATATACATATGGTATGTGACAAAACCTTTCCTGAGGGAATGCAACACACACCAGATTGGGAGCCTACAACAGACCAAAGAATGGACACCACCACCCAAGTCCAACGTGGTGAATTCAGCAGAATTTTATTGTGGCTACTTACAGGAATATGGGTGAGGGGTTACTTATAGGAACAGAAATGACTCAAAGACAGCTGCATCACCAAAGCCCACCCCAGCATAGGTGACAGCTCCCAAAGATGGGAACCTGGAGCACACTGCACAGGCCTCTCAGCAGGTTGGAGCCTGTCCTTTCCAGGTGCCTCAGTTGCTCTAAATCTCTTTGTGGAAGCTTGCCTGGTTTCTGCTTCTTCCAGGCAGCCAATCTGTTCTGAGACTCTTCTTTGCACCTTTGCTGTACTGAATGTGACGGGGATTCTTGGCTTTTATAGCTTACTCTGGAAGGGAGGGGCCTAGTGAATCCGGTAAGTTTCAGAGACTCTGTTTTGAGCTGTTTCTTACCTTCCTACTTAAGGAGCTTCCTTGTAGGGTGGAATGTTCTAATCTCAGAGAGAATGGTTACATGAGAGCATACCCCCATGCACATACATATGGGTAATTAAAAATAATAAAAATAATTTTAAGTGGATATCAAACAAAGAATGTTAAATTAAGATAATAATAATAGTAATAGTACTGCTGGACAAGCCATCTTGTGCTGATCTTTTCAAAATCATCTTTCCCCTCTGTTCTTGTAGGTTTATGAAAATCACACACAGATATCTTATGAGACCTGCCAGTTTACATGAAATCATGAAGTGTACTTCTCTCTCTCCCTCTCTGTTCTGGAACACCGTGTAAGCCAGACTGGCCTTGAACTCAGAGATCCCTTGCCTCTGCTGGGATTAAAAGTGTGTGCTATTGCCCCCCTGGCTTTTCTCTTTTCTAACAGAACAACTCCTATGTATCATTTGACAGTTTCAAACATGTAAAAAATGTCACTACCCCAAGTCCCCACTCCACTCTTTCCAGTGCCCCCAACATGTCCTCATTCCCCCTCCATTCCTCCTTACCCCCGCCACCCACCTTTTTGTTTAGCCCACGGAGTCTCATCATTGCTCGCTGCAGTATTGTTATACTGCTCACTGCACACACAGCACACCTCTCCACCCTGCTGCTCTTACAGTCTTTCTGCCCCATCTTCTGTGGGTGGGGTGGGGGCTTGATACAGATGTTCCTTTTAGGGATAAACTCTCAATAAACACTCAGCTTATTCTCAGCACTTTAACAGAAGTGAGTGTCTGCTGGCCTGCAAAGAAAGGCTTCTCTAGCCAAGGTTGGGGGCAGTACTAGTCCATGGGTTTAAGTATAAGTATTTAGAAGGCAGTTTGAGAAGTTGCTTAACAAAAGTAATATTTCCCCAAGATTTAGGACCTCCCAAACCGTGGTCTTTTACAGGACAGGACAAACATGAATTCCCCCCTTTGAGAAGACCTAAAATCTGGGAACTGAATCCTGGTCCTCCTCAAGAGCAGTAAGCTCTCTTCACTGCTCAGCTATCTTTCCAGCTCCTGGCCAATTATATTTGTAATGAGCTTATAATGTCGTGGTTTTCCTGTATCTTTAGATTCTGGCTGCCCTCATTCCCTCTCTCTCCCCCAAACCCCCTGCCTCTCATCTTTAACTTCCTGCACTCTCTTATGGTCACATCAGGTGGCTTCTGGTCCCTCACTCTTTTTGACCTCTTCTGTCCTCAGATACTCCAAATTAAGCACACAAATCTAAGATTTCAAAGCTAGTCTCCACATATGAGAAGGAATATGTGCTTGTCCTTCTGAGCCTGGGTTACCTCACTTAATATATTCCAGTTTCTGTCTTGCTGTATCTTTTGATTGTGGGCTTGATATTATATTAATATTTGTTTTTTATTGAAAACCATGCATTGATTGCTGACATTTTATTGATTTTTTTTTCTTCTTTTCCCTCTCTTCCTCTCTTGCCTAGTATTTTTCTAACATGATTCATTTTCTGTGGTTCATTCATGGGTTTGTTTTTCTCTTCACTATGAGGGATTCCTTTAGTCTATTTTTGTCATGGAAAGCTTTTATCTTCCCTTTAGTTATGACAAGTAGCTTTGCTGGCACAGTGCTCTGGATTGGCAGTAGTTCTTTTCCTTCAGAACTTGAAATACATCACTCCAAGCCCTGCTGGCTTCTAAAACTTCAGTTGAATGATCTGGAGTTATGCCATGGGCTTGTCTGTTGTGTGACTCAGTGTTTCTCTCTTGCCTCTTTCACTGTTTTTTCTTCTGTGTATTTTAGTGTTGCCAACACACCAGGGAAGAGACCCTCAACTGAGGAGTTTCTTCCATGAGATTGGCCTGTGGGCAAGTCTTTGAGGCATTTTCTTAACTGCTAATTGATGTAGGAGGGCCCAGCCCACTGTGGGTGGTGCCATCCCTAGGCTAGTAGACCTGGGCTATATGTAAGAAAGGTAGCTGAGCAAACCAGGTAAGCAGCATTCCTCTGTGGCGCCGGTTTTGTTTCCTGCTTCAGCTTCCCTTGATAAACTGACTATAACCTGTAAGCCAAAATAAGCAGTTTCCTGCCCAAGTTGTTTTTGGTCAGTGTTTTAACACACAGCATCAGAAAGCAAACTAGAAAAAGGGTTTTAGTTAAATTCTAACAAAGGAAGATTCTTTTCTGGTCTTGTCTTGGTGTTTTCTTCTGTATCTGGGTTGATATTTCTTTTTCTGTTTGTTTGGTTTTTTTGTTTTTTGTTTTTTTCTTCTAGACAGGGTTTTTCTCTTTATAGCCCGGACTGTCCTAGAACTCGATCTGTAGACCAGGCTGGCCTCGAACTCAGAAATCCACCTGCCTCTGCCTCCCAAGTGCTGGGATTAAAGGTGTGCGCCACCACTTCCCGGCGATATTTCTTTTTCTAACTTGGGAAATTTTTTCTGTTATGATTCTTTTCAAAATATTTTCTAACCAGGCAGTGATGGTGCACACCTTCAATCCCAGCGCTCTGGAGGTAGAGGCAAGCAGATCTTGTTGAATTGAGGCCAGCCTGGTCTACAGTTGAAGTTCTAGGACAGCCAGGGCTATGCATAGTAACCCTGTCTTGAAAAACCAACAACAAAATAAAAGGAAATATTCTCTATGCCTTTACCATGAGATTTTCCTGTGCCTGCTCCCCATCAACTTAGTCTTTTCAGAGTGTCTTATCTATCTTGGAATTCTCTTCTGTACCCTCTTAATGTTTTATCTTTGTCCTTGTTGGACTGTTCCAGTTCCTCCATCTTGTTTTCAGGGGCAGACACTCTGTCCTCTCCTTTATTAATTCTGTGCTGAGACTGTCCACAGAATTTATTTAACTGTGTCTTTTAATTCCAGCATTTCTGCTTGGCTTTTCTTTAGTATTTCGGTTTCTTTTGAATTCTTTCATATCATCCTAGCCTTCCTTTTTTCATTCAGGTGTTTATTTGTATCTTGAAATGTGCTTGTTATGCTAGGTTCTCTCTCAGGGACTTCATCTGACTCTCACTAGAGATCATTGCTATCGATTTTGGAGGAGCTACTTTGGTTTTTTTTACGTTGCTGCATTGGGATTTGCACATCTGGTGTTTTTTCTTTGCTAGGTTTATTTTTTGTTAGTTATAGTTTTCAGATGACAGACATATTTGAAATGGTCAAATGGGACCTGAATGTGGCGATGTTGAATGTGTAGTTCAGAAAATCATTCCTTAGACCAGGAGCAGCTTAGGGACCTGGTGTACAGGCTGTCTTATTCCCTAAGTTCCATATTAGCTGTGAGAGCAACCACAGCTGCTTGACATCACCACTAAGCGATTGTCAAGAACTATTGGAAGATAAGCAGGTTTAAATAGTGTAGAGTAGACTCAGATGTTTGTTGGTAAGATAGAAATAGAGAGGAAGTAGGGTGGGTAAGAAAGAGGAGTTAGTGTAGATCATGGTGGAAAGGAATAACATTGAGGTTAGTAAAACATAGCTAGTAGGGGAAAGTTGAGACCCCCTTTGGGGTCTGCAGATTTTAGAGATTGTTAAAGCTGATGGAAAGGTTTTTTTTGTTTTGTTTTGTTTTTGGTTTTTTTTTTTTGGTTTTTCGAGAAAGGGTTTCTCTGTGTAGTCCTAGCTGTCCTGGAACTCACTCTGTAGACCAGGCTGGCCTCGAACTCAGAAATCCGCCTGCCTCTGCCTCCCAAGTGCTGGGATTAAAGGCGTGCACCACCACCGCACAGCAAAGAGGAAATCCTAATCTTCCTGTACAGAGTTCAGCTTCTTTCTGACAGACCTGGAAAGAAAGGATGGCTATACAGTTACTCTGATTGAAATGCAGAAGAGTCTTTGTACTTGACTAAGGAAATTACTATACAGTGAGGTCACTTTTCTGTCGGCCAAAAGAAGGAACTGGTGAAGAAATCTGTATCCTTTGTAATGAGTCATCAGGCATGAAGTGGACAACAGCCAACCTCCATTCACAAATAGCTACGCCAGTTGATTTCAAAAGAGGGCAGACTTTCAACTTAACACCACAGGAACTGAAGTATGCATGAGGACAGAAAAGTATTAGTATATACATAAGAACTCAGGAGAAGCATGGGACTGGTTCTCTATAGGGATTTCTTTTTTATTTTGAGATGGAGGTCACTCTGTGTTGTCCAGGCTGGCTTCTAACTCCTAGGCTCCTGTAATCCTGCCCCAGCTTCCTGAATAGCTGGGGAAAGGCATGTCCAACTGTGCCCAATGTCTTTGAGACTTTTGGGGGGAAGATACTGTTCTTGATTTTCGAGTTATTTTTCTGTTTATAAAAGAGAACTTGGGCAGAGGCAGGCGGATTTCTGAGTTCGAGGCCAGCCTGGTCTACAGAGTGAGTTCCAGGACAGACAGCCAGGGCTATACAGAGAAACCCTGTCTCGAAAAACCAAAAAAAAAAAAAAAAAAAAAAAGAATAAAAGATAACTTGGTCTCATATGAAGGAAATATGCTAAGAATTTAAATATTTGAGCTAATAGATAAATCTTTTACTTCTGTCTTATAGTTTTGTAAATTTAGGTGTTAATATCCCAAACTTTCTGGCTTGGTAATAATGACCTCAAAAAACTCACTTTGAATTTAAACCTATAAAGTATGAACAAATTGAGACTACTCGCAATGATTGTAGGAAAGTTAAAAAGTGCAGTTAGGGTGGTGTGTGTGCACACGCAGGTTACGTACCTGGGTGTGACCTCGGCGATTGGCGTCTGTGCCATGGTGTTCTCTCTCCTGCTGCGGGGAGGACGAGTCCGGGCACTGAAGGGTGTGCTCCTGGAGGCAAGGGTGTTCCGAGGAGAACTGGCATCTACGGTGCCCCGTCTACTGAGTCAGAGAAGAGTGAAAAGGTGACAGGACCACATCCCACGGCACAAAGTGTGCTCAAAGAACCGGAGCCGACTGACACCACCACCTACAAGAACCTGCAGCATCATAACTACAACACATACACCTTCCTAGACCTGAACATGGAACTCTCCAAGTTCAGGCTGCCACAGCCGTCTTTGGGACGAGAGTCACCTCGGCACTGAGCTCAGTCCCAGGGCAGACCCCCATGTCGGTCCCGTGAATCCTTGCCTGTGAGAATAAAAGTCAAAGTCACAAAAAAAAAAAAAAAAAAAAAAAAGTACAGTTAGCCACTTCAATACTGACTCCTTTAATCTGTCTTTTCTTTATAGTGGTGGTGATGGTGGTGATAACACTGGGGATTTGGCCAGACCCTTGTACATGCTAAGCTACACCCAAGCTCTATGCTATATTTTTTTCATAAAGCTTTTATCAATAAATGCTTGATCTTGGGCCAAAGGCCAAGAGGTGGTAATATGCTAGCTATCCAGTGTATGTATTTGGGCTGACTTCAATCTGTCAATGGAATTTGATACTCCTTTATTAAGATAAAGCTCGGAATTTATCTTTCAAAAGGAAGCTACATTCCTAAAAACAGCTGGTCTACAGAATTTGATCTATATTTGACCCGTGGGGATGATACAGGGTCTTTATGTGCTTTGCATATCATTTTCTTATTTTATTTTTTCCAGGCACGAGAAGATGTGACCTGTCTTTTCTCACCTTTTTCAAATTTGCACATGGGTTAAACACTTTCACTTAGGAATTCTCTTCCTGTCCAGTTAACAGCAACCCTAGAATTACACACTGATAAATGGAGCTGATGCTTAATACATTTTTGGATGGGTGGGTGGGTGGGTGGTTGGTTGGTTTTTCTCTAGACCGGTGTCTCACCATGTAGTCCTGGCTGGATCTGTAGACCAGGCTGACCTTGAACTCAGAGATCCGCCAACCTCTGCCTTCCAAGTGCTGGGATTAAAGGTGTGTGCCTCTATTTCCTGTAATGCTGTCATGACTCAAGCTCAGAAGGGTCCCTGTTTGTCTTACTTGTATGCAGTTGTGTTGAGATGGCTTCAATCTGTGTGCTTTTCCTTTTAATTTCTTATATCTTCTTTTGTGTTCCTATTTTCTCTCCCCTTCTGATGAATAATACTTCTGGCTCCTTTTTCTCCCTCAGAGGTCACTCCTATGTGCTGACTGGGAACTGCTACCTAAGATGGCTTGCAAGTTTTGACACTATGTCTTTATGAAGCATCTTTTACTTTTTGTCTTTGCAGAGTTTACTCGAGAAGTGACAGACACACAGATGCCACTTGTTGCTCCTGTCATTCTCCCAGAGATGTATAAGATATTCACCATGGCCGAGGTATGGAATCTCAGCCCAGTAGGTGCAGCAAAAGGACCTGCTTGGCTCTGGTCAGCACCACCTCTCAGATGTATGGTGATGGTTGTTGTCACTGGTGCCCATGCCAAGAAAATGGAACTGACAGTGATCTAGATCAGAAATTGAATTGACCATAGTCTTTGAACTCATGACTACAAGGAAAAGCACTTGATGAAGTAACCAAAATGTCTCAGCACCACCCAGCTTTGCACCCTATCCTTGAGTTCGCAGTGCCTTTCTTGACCTGACCCACTCAGCCAAGGATTTAGAAATCATCTGTTACTTCATTGCAGGAATAGAATCTTAATGTATTATGTGTATATGTGTTAGTACGTACATAAATAGTGATCTGTACCCAGTAATATGTGAATACTTAATACTCATCCAGCCTCCGTAATGCCTTGCCCCCAGTGAATACTCCACATTGTAAAGGAAATACATTGAGAAGTGGGGATCAGCTCAGTATAGACCATGTGCTTTCAAGGCCCTGGGTTCATCTTCTGTCATCACACAATAGAGACAGAGCAGCAGCTGGGCATGTCGTAACCCCATCTCCAAAAAAGGAAAAGCATCTATTAACCAAGGCGGACATGGTGGAGGGTGTCTCTAAACCCAGCACTCAGCAGGCAAAGGAAAGCTAATTTCTGTGACTTGTAGGCCAGTGAGGGCTGCAGAATAAGATCTTGTCTTAAAAAAAAAAAAATTAGCTATGTTAGGATTTCAAGTATTACAGGACCTGTTTTTTAAAGTCACGGAGGCCTATGTATATTAAAGGCTGATTCTAGTAAGTTTAGCCTTCTACTGCTTTATGCTCTCCCTCTCTCTTTTTTGTGTTTGTGTTTCTGTTTTATTTGTATTTCAAGTACACAGATATAGTCTCTCTGTGTGTGCCCCTGGCTATCCTGTAACTCACTTTGTAGACCAGGCTAGCCTTGAACTCACAGAAATCTGCCTGCTGCTACTTCCCCAGTATGGGATTAAAGGTATATACTGCCAGCCACCTTATGCTCTCTTAATTACAGAAACCCAATTTTTTACGTAAGAGGATTGCATCTGTGTCTCTTTAGGGAATTAACTGTGAGGAGTGATTGGTTAGTCCTAGTTTTACTTCTAGTCACATGTACAACATATGCATATGCTCCAATCTCATGATTATGCCATGATCTTTTTCTCAGGTGTATGGTATTCGAACTCGTTCCCGAGCAGTGGAGATTTTTACTACCTGTGCTCATATGATCTGTAACATGGAGGAACTGGAAAAGGTAAGTGAACCTTTGGTTAATGAATGACAAAATTTGTGCTTCAAAGTCTTTATTAATACTTTACATTGCCAAAGACCCATTTCATAACTACCAGAAAGCACACTAGCCAGTCTTATAGAGTTAGCATTTTCATTAACATTTATAGATATATATATATATCCTATATTTTAGCTTTATGTTTCTTCAAACACCTTTTCTGTATTCTTTTTTTATTTCTTTCTGTTTTGATGTTTTTGTTTTGTTTATTTTGTTTTGTGTTGGGGTGTTGTTGTTTTTGTTTGGAGCATTGGGGGTATTGCTTTGGTTTGGGTTTCTCCATGCTGGGAATTAAACCTAGGACCTCACATATTCCAAGCAAGCACTCTGCCACTGAGCTATATTCCAAGTGTTCCTGTTTCCTTTTACATTGGACATCTCAAGCCTTTCTTTTCTTCTGGCCCTCTTGTGTGAAGGAAAGCTAGCTGGAAATTCTGGTTCCTGAGATCCAGGTGCTTTTCTGAGAGTGATCGCATGGGCTAGGTTTCAGAAGACTATAGTGAAGGATTGCAGGTAGGAGCTGAGGTCAGAAGGCTTGAGAAACTCTTGCAGTGACTATAGCTCTGCCCTTTCATTAGGACTTGTCCCTAAAAGATGCTTCAAAACCGAGAATTTATTGTGTGTGCTGAGCTCTGGGTTGAGGGTTTGTCCAGCATTGACTTTGGTTTCTGTTGTCAGGGTGCAGCCAAAGTCCTGATCTTCCCCGTGGTGCAGCAGTTCACGGAGGCCTTTGTTCAGGCGCTCCAGATGCCGGATGGTCCCACATCTGACAGTGGTTTTAAGATGGAGGTTCTGAAGGTAAAGCTATACTATCAGTAAGCTTAGAGCTGAGAAAGAGTTGGAAATCACTGGTTGCTCCTGTGTTACTTAGTAGTATTTTCTCTTCTCAGGCAGTGACAGCCTTGGTGAAAAACTTCCCAAAGCACATGGTGTCCTCCATGCAACAGATCCTGCCCATTGTTTGGAACACTCTAACTGAAAGTGCTGCCTTATATCCTTTCCTGAAGACCCAGAGGACTCGCCACTGCCTAACACTGGGGATCTAGCCTTGGGTCTCAGTAATGTGCTCCTATGTCTAAGTGTTATGTCTGTTCTTGGTGTTGGGGTATATAGCACTCCCTTATAGACTATGTAAAGCAGACTCCAGATTCTCTTTCTTTACTCTGTATCATACTTATGTGAGGACAGAAGTGAATTACACAGAGGAAGTGGAAGATCCTGTGGATTCTGATGGTACGTAGTCTATCTGATCCTAACAGAAATACCAATTCTTAGGGAAAGGGATATTGACACAGACAAGTCAAAGCAGAAAATAGAAAAGTGGTAAAAGTATCTTTTCAATGTATTAGGTATGAGCCATTGAGAACTCATCATCTTCCGTGTCATCCTTAGGGAAGTTTGCAAAGCCCGCTGAAAATTGTGACATTTGAATGTAACAGGTGTCTGATACAGCTAGCTAGCTACCTGTGTCATTTTATCTCATGTAATTTCAAAGTTTCACATGATGATAGCCTTCATTTCTATCTCAGTATTTTTAAGTACTTCAGATCAAAAATAGACATGCTGGGAAACATGTTCAGTGTTTATAATTCTTTTACTCCTAAAAGTATTTAATATCCTCAAACTTCCTTTCTCTGACTCTCCAGCCTCTTCTACCAATCCTTCAGGAAAAATTAGCAAGTGCTTTACACGTTCATTAATTTACAAAGATAGTGTAGTTTATTTCTGGAATGAATCCTTTTGTTTTCATGGCATTGATTTCTACTGTCATGTATCCCCTTAGGAGAAGTCCTGGGCTTTGAAAACCTTGTCTTTAGCATTTTTGAATTTGTCCATGCCCTATTGGAAAACAGCAAATTCAAAAGCACGGTTAAGAAAGCCTTGCCTGAGCTCATCTACTACATCATCCTGTACATGCAGATCACTGAGGAGCAGGTAAGTGGTATTTGGGAGACGGTTACTAAGTTGCACTGGAAACTTGGAGAATGTGACATCTTGGTCAAGTAAACATCTCATTTCTATAAAACAGACACGGAGTGACTAACTTTATGTGAAATCCTAGAGAAGTTATGGTATTATTTTATCAATCCTAATATTAGACTTTCAAAACATTTTTTTCATCAGGAAAATCTCTGTGAAACCACTGAGCAAAGATCATAGTTTGTAGGAGAACCTATTCAGCACTTCCTCTAAACAGTGAGGTTAGTCTTTATCTACTGCCAGCCATCAAGAAAGCAGCAGCTCAGACTAGGGACCCCTGAGATCTTAGTAAGGATGTGTAAGAAGTCCTGGGAGTTCCCATGATTTAGCCACATCTACAAAGCCCCCTACTAAGTAAACCATATCATCAAATTTAGAGTTTGAATCTGAGTCACATTTTCTTAGCCTAATCTGGAATGCAGACAGTTTTTTTGTTTGTTTGTTTGTTTGTTTGTTTTGGTCTTTTTTGTTTGTTTTTTGGTTTTTCGATACAGGGTTTCTCTGTGTAGTCCTGGCTGTCCTGGAACTCACTCTGTAGACCAGGCTGCCCTCGAACTCAAAAATCTGCCTGCCTCTGCCTCCCAAGTGCTGGGATTAAAGGCATGCACCACCACTGCCCGGCCAGACAGTATATTAATAGGCTTTTATTTCAGCTTGCTCCTGTTCCTGCCTCCACACCTGTTAGTATTGTTTGATCAGCATCTGTTCTTTGCCATGTTGAAGCCTCCATGGCATCTCTGATCTTCACTTAAAAGAGGAACAAAATAAAGTAACAACTAGGTTTTTAAAACTTCTTTCCCCAGCCAGGCATGGTGGCACATACCTTTAATCCCAGCACTCAAGAGGCAGAGGCAGGCTGATTTCTGAGGATGAAGCCAGCATGATCTACAGAGGGAAGCCAGGACAGTCAGGGCTACAGAGAAAAACCCTGTTTGAAAAAAAAGGAATGAAAATAAATTAATTTCCCCAGATCTGGAAACAGTTGGAGAAAGAGCAAAGTGGTGAAAGTACTCAGAACACATTGTAGGAAGTTCTCAGCGAATTAATAAAAACACTGTATTTTTTAAAGTACTAACAAAAAAGAATGCATCAGCTTAAACCATTGAGATGGCTCAGCAGGTAAAGACATTTGCTACCAAGCCTAATGACCTGGGTTCAATCCTCTGATCCATGTAGTGGAACTGAACTGACTCCTGATAATTGCTCTCTGTCCTCCTCTTAAGCATAAATGTAATTTTTTAAGTAATATAATAATAATAATTAAATAATAATAATAATGCCAGGTGGTAGAACATTCCTTTAATTACAGCCCTGGGAAGGCAGGAACAGGCAGATCTGAATTCGAGGCTAGCCTGGTTTACAGAGTGTTCCACAATAGCCAGAGCTACACAGAGAAATCCTGTCTCAAAAAAACCAACAGAAAAAGAAAAAAATATGACTGTCTTTCACACATATCAACACAAAAATTGGTGTAATTTTATAGTAAATACCTGATATATTCAGAAAATCTGTTTATCAGAGTAGCAAGCTGATGGCAGCAATTTGTCATATTCTAAAAAAGATTGTTACAGATAAATAGCCAGTCCTACATTTTTGGATAATCATTTGTTTCTCAACAACAACAAAAAAACTTTAAAGTAGTGGGAGGTATAGGTGGATCACTCTAGTTTAAGACCAGCCATAGCTACATAGTGAGACCCTGCCTCAAAAAGAAAAAGACTATGGAGTTTTGATCAGGAGAAGATTGACTAGAATGAGCTGACTTCCTCCCCTTCACAGATTAAAGTGTGGACAGCTAACCCACAACAGTTTGTCGAAGACGAGGATGATGACACATTCTCCTACACTGTTAGAATCGCAGCTCAAGACTTGCTCCTGGTAAGTTACCTTGCTACTTCAACCAGATAACCCTTCAGTAACTGGAAGTTTCTTCCTAGACATCTAACCCATGGTAAGCGGTACTGTGGGACAGCTTTACCACAGACCTTTTTAAGGATATAAGAAAGTTGCTCATGAAATTTGAGACTGAGAAATTCCAAAGGTTTTTGCACCTGGCTCATTGAGTCTGGAACATTTCAGTTTAATCTGCCTTCAACAGGCCTCCATAGCACAAATCAGAAAGTGACAAACTTAAAAAGATTGTTGGGAAGTAAGTGTGCAACATCAGCTCGCAAGTTCTCTGGCTTCTCCAACTCGGGCATAGGGTTGTCTCTAGGTTGAATGCTGTGAAGAAACTGCTAGTTTTTCTTGGATTCGTTGGTAAACCATGTCTTTGTATTTAGTGCTTCTAAGGAACCTGTCACAGGTTACAGGAGGAGCTGGGTGTGTAGTTCAGCATGCAAAGTGAGCTTGGTTGAATTGCCAGCTCCAAAAAATAAAAGTAGGACAGAAAAAAATTATACACTCTTAGAGCAGCCTCATATTCTCATTATCAATCAGTTTCAAAGAGAATATCTTGTCCATTGTTGTCTAAAGCTAACTATCATTTTTTCATTTATGCTAATAGAGCCAGAATGATCAGCTATTTAGAGCTAATTTAGAGCCTTACAGTGCCTGAATACCACACAGTTTCGGGTGTTACCTTAATTTCATCAGAGACCCTGAACTAATGGGGTCACTTTTAATAACACCTGATGAGGCTTTAGTATGGGTATGTCAGAGTTTGAACCATAGACATTACATAGATTTATTTTTCAATCTTCTCTCCTAGGCTGTGGCCACAGATTTCCAGAATGAGAGTGCAGTGGCCCTGGCTACTGCAGCCACTCGGCATTTACAAGAAGCAGAGCAGACAAAAACCAGTGGCACCGAGCACTGGTAAGGGTGAGCAGAAGCTCTGCTTAGTCTTGTTTGAAGCATTACTACATCTGAGGGAAAACGAGCCCATTCTATCCCTTTTTAAATAGCTTTGAAAGGGGGGACTTCTGTTTTTAATTAGAAGACTTGACTATTATACTTCGGTGTTTTCTGTAACATTTAATAGTGTTTAAACTGAAAGAATGAGACTATATGTAGTACACGACTGCTCTCCAAACACTTGGAAGGTAGAAGCAAGAGATTTAGAAGTCCAAGGCCATCCTTGTCGATACATAGCAAGTTTGAGGCGAGCCTGGCCTATGTGAGACCCTATCTCAAAAAAATAAGGGCTGGGGCTGGATAGATGGCTCAGCAGTTAAGAGCAATTAAGAGGTCCTGAGTTCAATTCCCAACAAAACTACATGGTGGCTCACAACCATCTGTAATGAGATCAGATGCCCTCTTCTGGTGTGTCTGAAGGCAGCGACAGTGTTCTCATATACATTAAATAAATAAATAAATAAATAAATAAATAAATAAATAAATAAATAAATCTTTTTAAAAAACAGGAGCGGATGAGATGGCTCAGCAGGTAAGGATGCTTGATGTCAGCCTGGCAAACAGAGTTCAATCTCTAGAACCAGGGCATAGAAGTGAGGAACTTTAGAAAGGTGTCCTCTGACTCCACCCATGCCATTGCTGGTGTTCCCACGTGATTGATAGGCAGACGGAAGGACGGATGGATGGATTGATAAGTGTAGAAACATACTTTTAAATAAATTAATTAGAAATACTGACAAATGATTTTGGGATCAAATTACTTTGGAGTACTCTGAATGGCCTTATTTTGGAAGTGTAGTTTGCTTTACCAACTGCAGTATCCCTGTTACAGGTGGAAGATCCACGAGGCCTGTATGCTTGCTCTAGGCTCTGTGAAGTCTATCATCACTGACAGTGTGAAAAATGGCAGGATCCATTTTGATATGCATGGGTTCTTGACCAATGTCATCCTTGCAGACCTCAACCTGTCAGGTATGTTTGAATACATGCCAGGATTCTAGGAGATCTTGGGACCTGATGTTAACTCACTTAGGTACTTTTTAATATTTGTTTCATTGTGTGTCTGTGTGTGTATGATTTTTGCACATCATAGACCAGAAGAGGTTGTTGATTATCCTATATCACCCTCTGCCTAGTCCTATGAGGCGAGGTCTCTCCTTGGAGTTGGGGTTCACATCTTGCCTAGACAGAATCCAGCAAACCCCATCGGACCTACTGTCTCCACCGCTGTCCAGAGCTGGGATCACAGGCATTTGCGGGGCCTTCTGGCTTGTTGCATGGGTGCTATGATTCAAACTCCTAGCCTTGTGATTACAGAGAAATTAAGCATTCTTAATCCCTGAGCCATCTCTTCTCTTAGCCTCCTTTCCTTCCTCCCTTCCTCCCTCTTCCTTCCTCCCCCTCTCTTCCTCTTACCCCTTCTTTCTCTTCCCCTATGTATGTGTTTTGTCTGTCTGTCTGTCTCTGTCTTTCTCAGTTGTGCGTGCGTGTGTGTGTGTGTGTGTGTGTGTGTGTGTGTAAAGATCTGAGTTTAGTTCTTAATACTCCAAGAGATGTAAGTCACAAGTGGTTGTAACTCAAGGTCCAAGGGATCTGATGCCCTCTAATGGCAACTACTGGCACTGTATGTGATGTGCACACATCACATATGTATATATTCATAAATGAGATTAAAATCTTTAAACAAAAACACCACAAGAAGTGTGGCTTGTATCTATTCTGTTAGTTATAATAGCTATGATGTCGTATATGTATCATAAAACCTCTGGAAAGTGCTGTTGATCATTTGGGAAGGAATGAGAATAAAAAAGTTCATGTCTTGGTATTCCTTTAAGAATGATTTTAGGGGCTGGAGAGATGGCTCAGTGGTTTAGAATGCTGGTTTTTCTTCAGAGAATCTGGGTTTGGTTCCCAGCACCCATATGGTAGCCCACAGCTGTTTGTAGCTCCAGTTTCAGAGAGGTCCCATGTCCTCTTCTGGGTACCAGACACACATGTAGTGCATATAAATACATGCAAATAAAATTCCCATACACATAAAATTATAAAATGTTTAAATTAAAAGGTGATAGTTTTAGCTTTAAGGACTTCCAGAAATACCTAAGCCATACTTTGGCAGTTACTACCTCTGTATCTAAAGTGTTAGTAATTCTTTTCTGGTTTGTTAAGAACTACTACTCAATAATTCCTCAATTTGATATTTTAGTGTGAGCAACTGGCTAAGCTCTTTGACAAGCAGAATAAATTCAGTATTCTTAAACAGTTTATGCTTAGCCGGAGATAGTAGTTCTTACACCAGTAGATTGGAGTGTCAAACAAAATACAGCATATGAGAAAACTGAACATGTAGAATTACAGTGGCTCGGAGATCATTGAGATTACTACAGACTGAGAAATCATAGAGACGTGTGACAGAAACGAGTTGACTTGTGATTTAAACAAAGCTTAGAGTTGAGAAAGCAGATGTGAGTTCTGAGTCCGGGTGTGTGCTGTAGCTTAATAGCCATCAAGGGAGCCTTGAATGGCAGCATTAGTATCATGTGTATTTGGTAGACTGTAAAATTATTTGTCAGGTTATTAATAGAGGGATAACATAGAGCTGTAATTTATGTTCTAGTGTTGAGACAGTAATAGGAAGGAAGAGGCAGTGGGAAGGATTTAGAAGATGGACTAGTGTGGGTAAGCAGTAGTGAGGACTTCAGTCTCAGAATAGTCAGAGGTAGAATTGAGAAATAGATTCTGTGCCGTTTATTGCACCTATGCTTTTACCATGTGAAATTGTGTTTTTTCTTTCATATAAGTCATCTATGTTGTATATTTGTTAACATTTGAGAAATGGAGTTGGGCAAGAGCAGGGGAAGAGGAACTTTTCATCATGCAGCCTGTAATTGCTCTTCCTCCTAGCGTCTCCTTTCCTCTTGGGCCGGGCACTGTGGGCTGCCAGTCGCTTCACTGTTGCTATGTCCCCTGAACTGATTCAGCAGTTCCTACAGGCAACAGTTAGTGGTCTTCATGAGACACAACCCCCATCAGTTCGCATCTCTGCTGTGAGAGCCATCTGGGGGTAAGTACGCTACACTAGAATGCTAAGAACTACTTGAAGAGAAAATGGCTCAGGTAGAGAACATCACAGCTGTCCCGTGCATTATGGTGCCTAGAATTTTCTCCGGAAGACCTCTTCTGGAAGAATACTGGAGAGAATGGAAAAGAAGCTCTGCAGGTGACTTCAGAAGGTGTTGCCTTTTGTTCCTTATTCCCTTTAAATTCAAAGAGCTTCTTCCTGTCTTCAGTGAAGGCACTTAACCCAAGGCTCTGAATAATTTGCATCATGTTTGTGAAGGACATAACTCTGATTAGCAGCCACATGATTGTGTTGGTAGTCTGTGTATTAGAGTCCAAATGTGGGCAAATGTGGCATAGAAGCAAGCTCATTTCCCCAGCTTCATTTGTTTTTCATAGGTAAAGACTAGAGGTTTCATAGGCATTACTTATGTTCCTATTCAGACCAGAGGACACACTGATATTTGAAAAATATTTTCTTTTCAATTCATAGTTTTATTTGATGTGTATGAGTGTTTTTTTTTTCCTTGCACATGTCTTTGTTCTATGTGCATGTTTGGTACTTACAGAGGTCAGAAGAGAACATTGCATCCCCTGGAATTGGAGTTGTAGACAGTTATAAGCCACCTTGTGAGTATAAGGAATTGAACCCAGGTCCTCAGTAGGAACAAGTACTCTTAACTGCTGAGCCCTCTCTCTAGGCCTGAGCATTGTTATTTTGAAGGATATTTTAAGATCCAAATTTAAGCATCTCAATTGAATTCTATGCATGAGAATTACAAAATTTATGTTCCTATCCTATCTTACCATTTGAGACAGTGATTGAGAATCCATGCATTGAGAGGGAGAATGGAATGGAAGAGAGATCCTTTGGGAACATTCAGGAATCACCTATTCTGCCTGTGTGTATTGAATAAGTGCTACAACCATGAACCCATCTTTTCCTGTGCCATCTTAGTAAAGCCTGTCTTTGGTTCTGAATGAATTTAAAATCTCATTGTGCTAAGAGAAACCAAGTACAGCTTTTTAGAAAACTCTGAAACCACTCTTCAATGACTAAGGAGGGAGGCCTAACCTGGTTAACCACTTGCCTTTATTGCTCTGACCTTTGTGAAATTTGATTTTATCTACATGCTTTAATTAGTCCCTGAGGCATTAAACATCCCTTATATCAAATGTCAGTATAAGATTAAAAGCAGGAGCTGGAAAGGTGGCTCTGCAGATAAGAGAACAAACTGTTCTTGAAGAGGACCCTAGTTTGATTCCTAGTACCCACATCAGGCAGTTCACAGCTACCACTAACTCCAGCTCCTGGAGATCTGAAACACCCAGACGTCTTCATACATGGGCATGTACACATTAAATAAAGAAATAAAGAAATAAATAACAACAACAACAGTTTAAAGAAAAAAGTTTAAAGCCTTTGCCAACTAGTACAAAACCATTAAAACCTATATATATATCTTAAAACTTTTTTTTAAAATGAGCCAGGAGTAAAATAATAAATTTAAAAACAGATTATTGGTAAAAAGAGCTGTGTCTTCTTTGTGCTGTGATTTTACAGAAATGTTCAAAGTTACAAACTGAGAAGAGTTTGATGTAAGTGTCTAAATACTCAGGTAAATGCCTCTTGTCTTCTGGGACATTTTAGACAATAGTACCTGTCAAGCAGAACTTATTTACATTAATTCTCACAGAAAAGATTAGGATTTTAAAAGAAACTTTCATTATTGTTATAAATGTGTTTGTTTATAGTAAGCTTAAATTTTATAGTCAGAAAAGAACATTGAGAGGCTGGAGAGCTGGCTCAGCAGTTGAGAGCATTGGTGTAAGTCGTGAGGACCTGCATTAAGATCCTAGCCCCTGTACAACAAGCTGACCGCCCTGACACTTCTGTAATCCCAGCTCCAAGGAGTTGGAGAGAGATGGGAGACTCACTGGGGCTTGCTGACATCCAGCCTACCAGAGAAAACAAGCCCCAAGTTCAGGGAGAGACCGTGCCTCAACACTTCTGGTCTCCATAAGCACCTGTATTCTTACACATACCCACACACATATTTTAAATATTTTAAAATATTTTGTTATTAATATGTTATTTTATTTTGTTATTAATATGCTATTTAAAATATTTTAAATAACAATTAATAAAAACAAATCTTTGGGTTGGAGAGATAGCTCAGTGGTTAAGAGTACTTGCTGAGATGAGCTTGCAGAGGACCTGGATTTAATTCCCAGCCCCAAGTTCATAACCTCCTGTTACTCCAGCTCCAGGGAACCCAGTATCCTTTTCTGGCCTCCATAGGCTTCTGAACACATGTGCAAATATGTATATCACATACACATGCACACATGCACACACAAAATTAAAATATCAAATGTTTAAGAGCAACCTTATGAAGAATTCTTAGCCATATTTTCTTTTTTAAAGATTTATTTATTAATAAATTATTAATAATTATTATTAAATAATATTATTATTTATTAATCTTTTTAAAGATTTATGTAAATGAATACAGTGTGTTCATCTTCAGACAAGTTGAGACAAGTGTTGCTCTCTTACAAGTTCAGAAGAGAGACAAGTGTTGCTCTCTTCAGACACACCAGAAGAGGGCATCAGATCCCATTACAGATGATTGTGAGCTACCATGTGGGTGCTGGGAATTGAACTCAGGACCTCTGGAAGAGCAGTCAGTGCTCTTAACCGCTGAGTCATCTCTCCAGCCCTGCTATCTTTTCTTCTCGGCCAAAAATTCCAACTTAGTCATTTCCTCTTTGGTTTTCTAGTCTCTATGTCCTTATCACATTGTTAAAACTATGGAGTTTTTTGTTTCCAAGTTTAATTGTATTTAATTAATGTGTATGTGGGTATGTGCAAGGAAGTGTGAATACCTCTGGAGGCCTGGACTTGCAGGTGGTTGTGAGCTGCCCAGCATGGATGCCAGGGGAAAAAATACAGGTCATCTGGAAGAGCAGTCTGTGCTCCTAACCATTCAGACCAATCCAGCCCCTGAAATTTCTAATACTGTAACATTTTAGTTACAAAGCATCTTGACTCTTTTGTTTTGTACCAGCTTTAATTTATTCCTCCATTCAGTGGCTTATATTTCAGTATAAACTACCTTAAATGATTTCTGAAACAATATAAGATATTTATTGATGTATAATTATACTTGTGTCAGATTTCTTAATTATACTTGTGTCAGATTTCTCTAGTCATATTTACAACTGACTTATTTTTTATTGTTTGTATATTTGTTTCCTGTGTATGGGTGTTTTGTCTGTGCACTGGGAAGTTCAGCAGAAGACATCAGATCCCCCTGAAACTGTGAGCGTGCTGTGAGTGTTGGGAATTGAACCTGGGTCCTCTGCAAGAGCAACCTCTGAGCTCCAAACCCCTGAGTTCTAAACTCCTGAGCCACCGCTCCAGCCCTCCAGCCCCAACCCCAGACCTAACTTGTGAACACTGTAAGGTGGCACCTGGCTCTGCTCAGCTCTGAACTCTTTTCTGTTGTTGTTTTATTACCTTCTTCTAATTATAAGGACAACAGTATTGTTTTTCTATTCTAAAAGGTCTGCTTCTCAGCTCAGATAACTATCACAACATATGGTGAGAAGTTGAGACATGATGGATGAGTTGCTGTAGTGACTGAGGAGGAGGAGGAGGGTCTACTGCAGTCTGGTGTGACTAGTAGACGGTGAAGAGGAAGTAGTAAGGAAGGAGCCAAGGCCTAAAACCGGAAAGGGCAAGATCTAAGGGTACAACATTTTTACCATTACTAAAGCAAAGAATCTTGTAGACTTGGCAATAAATAGTAAGCTTAGTGGTCAGTGTTTTGACGTTCAGTTATTTGTAAGGTTTTATACACACACACACACACACACACACACACACACACATATTGGTAGAGCCAATAAGCAGTGACTATGTGGTAGCTTATGGCTACCCATAACTCCGTTTTCAGGATACCTCACACTCTGGCCTCTTCAGGCACCAGGCACTTGTATGCTTTATATACATAGAAAAATAAATCTAGCAAGGTAGGTGGTGGCGCACACCTTTAATCCCAGAACAGAGACAGAGGCAGGTGGATCTCTGTGAGTTCTAGGATTGCCAGGGCTACCCTGAGACACCCTGTCTGAAAAAAACAAACAAACAAAAAATGAAATAAGTGAATCCAAAAATAAGTTTAAAAAGAAAAAAGTTAGGACTGAGTGGAAAGCAGTCCATGGCAAAGCCAAGCCTGTCCATAAACCAAGATCCCACTGGTCACTGTGGGGCTTCACAGTCAGCGCGCCTTATGTAAAACTAACAAGAGTGGGGTGAGGTGGCACACCCCTAAGCCTGGCTCTGAGCTGTGGAAGCAGAGGCAGGAGGATCTCTGTAAGTTCAAGTCCAGCTTTGTCTGCATAGCAAATTCCAGACCAGTCATATTGAGACCCTGTCTTTAAAAAAGAATTGCTGCGTACCTGTTAACAGGGTGTTGTTTAGAGAAGCCATGCTTTTATTTATATTCATTAATGCCATTCTATATAAATGGCACTTTAAAATATTATTTAATAATGTTATTAGTTATGCATATGACCAGACCAGACCCCAAATAATCAAGGCAGAGTTCTATGAATTTTTAAAATCAGCTTTAGCACAATTATTGGGTAAATTACTCCTTATCTATTTTTCTATATGCTAAACTATTAATTCTCCAGCTGTGTTCCCCCAAGTACTTGCTGTTTGAGTCTGGCTCGTTATTTCTACTCCATCAATTCATCCTAAGGGGACATTTCACTTGGCCACATGCTCCTAGCTCATTTAGTCTAATGAAGACCTCCTGTGCTCTCTGTCTTCTCTCTCCTCCTTCTTCCTCTCCCCCTCCCTTCCTCCTCCTCCTCCTCTTCCTCTTCTTTCTCCTCTTCTTCCTTCCTCTTCTCTCTCTCTCTCCCTCCCTCCCTCCCTCCCTCCCTCCCTAGGAGCAGCCAGCTACCACTGTTCTTCCCCAGTAATTGGCTATAGCCACTTCCACTTTTATTTAACCAGTAGCTTTAAATTTGGGGGAAAGGTTTATGTAGCATCACTTGATGTATGTGAGGATCTCCTTGAGGTTGGGGGGGGCAACCAGATCTTGGAGGCCAATATTTAGCATTTGAATAGATAGCAGCTCCAGACCAACCCCAACAATTCTATTGTAATTTTGTAATTAATTACATTTATGTGGATATGATAGGAGGGCATGTGGGCATATAAGTCTGCTGTGGCACACAAAGAACAATTTGTGGCATTCAGTTCTCTCCTTTGACGAGGGTCCTGGGGATCAAACTGAGAGCATCAGGTTTTTCCGAAGATACCTTTATCACTGAGCCATCTTACCAGCTGTCTCATCACCTGTTTCTAACTACAGTGATGAGAGGAAAGACTCATGGGACTGGAGGTGTCTTCAGTGCTAGAGCATTCGCCCAGTACAGGCAAAGCCTAGGATTCCATCCCCATCAGAAAAGAAGGAAAGTGCAGGTTTAAATGGTGTGTTTATAGCATTTGTATCCTGTAAGAGACAGAGAGCAACATTCAGTAAATACTTGTTGATTAAGAAGTGGTTAGAGGGACTGGAGAGATGGCTCAGTGGTTAAGAACAACACTGCTCTTCCAAGGTCCTGCGTTCAATTCCCAGCAACCACATGGTGGCTCACAACCATCTGTAATGGGATCTTATGCCCTCTTCTGGTGTGTCTGAAGACAGTGACAGTGTCATCTACATAAAATAAATAAATCTTTTGAAGAAAAAAAAAAAGGTGGTTAGGACTGCATAGAGAAGTTTAAATCCCACATGTAAAGTACTAACTTTGTAAGTATGCATAAGAATAAAATTGAACTCATTTTGGCACTCAAAACAAAGTTTGTAACATGGAAATTAAAAAATAGTTTCCCATTATACAATTGTAACGAGAAGATGTTTTAAGACTACATTTGTTTTGCTTTTGGTGGGTTGTTGTGTTTTGGTTTTGAGACAGGGTCTTACTATGGAACCTCTGCTACCTGGGCTTGCTTTGTAGACCAGGTTAGTCATGAACTACAGCATGTAGAAGCTGGAGGATAACTTCCACTGTGTAGTGTCTGGGGACCCAGCTCAGTTCATCAGGTTTGGGAGCAAAACAAGTACCTTTACTGGCTGGGCCATCTTGCAAGCTTTTTATGTCCAAATCTTGGTAATGCGATTTAACATTATAGTCTGAGAACTCAAAAGACATTTAACCTAGTATCTTCATAATTTGGATGTGATGATGTGGCTGTATGAAATTTTAAAGAAAATAGCAAATAGGATAGCAGGGTGGCTTAGTATTAGAGCACCTGCTTAAACATGTATGAGAGATGAGACGCTGGGTTTGATCCCCAGCAAAAAGGAAATTTTGAAGAAAGTAGAGGCACTGGATAGGTATATAATATGTTACAGAAAGATATGAAGACTAGCTAACTACAGAAGTAGCTTTATAAAGCTATGTATGGATACATTGTCATATAAGATTGGAAAGGCTAAAGCTTGAAGGGTCTGCTTACGAGTAATTCTTAATTATGTATCTCTGTCTCTAGTTATTGTGATCAACTGAAAGTCTCAGAGAGTACACATGTGCTTCAGCCCTTCCTCCCCAGCATCCTTGATGGCCTCATTCACCTGGCAGCCCAGTTCAGCTCAGAGGTCCTCAACCTGGTGATGGAGACCCTGTGCATCGTTTGTACTGTGGACCCAGAATTCACAGCAAGCGTGGAAAACAAAATCTGCCCCTTCACCATCGCCATTTTCCTAAAGTACAGTAATGGTATGCCATCTGGAAAGAAGTATTGATGAGAAGCACTCAAAGAAGTGGTAACTGGTGGGTTAGGAACTACCCTAGTTAACAAAGGAAACGGTTCTCCTATAGACTTGGCAGCATTACAAAGTTGAATGCCAGTTCCTGTGATTTTATTCATTTAAGGACTAGGAAAGATAGTACATAAAAGACTAATGCAAAAACGACCTCATTTAAAGCTCTTCCGATGGAGTAGGAAAGTAAGTAACTTCCTAAGAACAGATTGGAAAAGGAGATGCTGAGACTCGGGGTATGGCTCAGTGATAGAGCCCTTGCCTAGCGTGTATGAGGCCCTGGGTTTGATCCCCAATACTGGGGAAGAAAATACTGAAGACAGAAGCATGCCAAGAACCTTGTTCACATGAGGCAAGTGCTTTGCTGCCGAGCGGCATCCCCAGCCCTTGAGTTTAGAGCCTTTGTGTAGCCCAGCCTGTCCTTGACCCTGCCATCCCTGCTCCTCCCGATCCTTCCAAGTGCTGGGTTGTAGTCACGGGCTTTCAAACCCAGCACAGATTCTTTATAATATTAAAAGTAAGCAAAAAGACAGATTTTCCCAGAATGTACATAAAAAATGTACAAAGTTTTAGTTTTAGTTTTAAAAGAGGATATGCATGTAGCTATGTATACTGGGAAGAAAAAATGCCAGAAGAAAATGATTGAAAATATCAAAGGTATTATCTCTAGGTGGAACAATTACAGACTTTTCTTTCCTTTAATACTTTTAAGCATTTTAAGTTTTTATAGTAAACATATTTATGCTGAATACCAGAAAAAAATGTTAAGGATATTTGTTTTAAAAATTGAAGCTAACAGCCGGGCAGTGGTGGCGCACGCCTTTAATCCCAGCACTTGGGAGGCAGAGGCAGGTGGATTTCTGAGTTCAAGGCCAGCCCGGTCTACAGAGTGAGTTCCAGGACAGCCAGGGCTACACAGAGAAACCCTGTCTCAAAAAAACCAAAAAAAAAAAAAAAAATTGAAGCTAAAAGACATAGAGGAATGGTAGTTACTAATATGATATCATACTAAACATGTTATTTCATTTGTTTGGGGTTTGGTTTTTTGGGGGTTTATTTTTTGACAAACATGTTCTGAAGAGCGTGCCTGCTGCTCCCTCATTCTTCTCAGGCTTCATTAATTATCCGAAATGGAAATGGCTGTTTATAGTTTTATTTACCCATTCCGTTAATGTAGAGCTAAAGTGTTCTTTTTTTTTTATATTACAAACAGTGCTATAATTACTTATAGCATATACCTTAGTGTGCACTGCGTGTATCTTTTCATACTACATGGCAAAAGTACTTTTATTAAGTGGGTAAGGGAGATTAACATGAAGTTCCATCTCTCAGCCTCAGCTAGGTATACATACCTATGATCCTAGCCCTTGGAGCTAAGGCTGGAGGATTACAGATTCAAGGCTATGTAGTGAGACCTTTTCTTAAAACAGACACCAGAAAGAAGCTCCATCTCTTTATAAAGCTCTGCTTTCTGAGGGCTGGGCCTTTTGCTACAGGTAGGGCCCTGGGAGTCTCTCCAGTCCGACATGACTACTCCCTAAGAACTATGTGTGACTTCTCCTTGAAAAGGTGTGAGAAGGGCAGGAGAAGGGCGAGCATTGGCTGCTCTTCCAGAGGACCCAGTTACCTACATGGTAGCCCACACTCTTCTGAAACTCCAGTTCTAAAGGACACCCCACTCTGGTCTCCTTGGGCACTACACACGTGGGTACACAGACATGTATGCAGGTAGATTACCCACATACAAAATAAAAATAAATAAATCTATTTTTTTTTCAATATATGAGTCTGGGGACAATGGTGAATGGTGTTTTTGCTTGTTTGTTTTTTGTTTTGTTTTTTAAGATTTATTTTATTTATATGAGTACAGTAGGTGTCTTCAAACATACCAGAAGAGGGCATCAGATTCCATTACAGATGGTTGTGAACCACCATGTGGTTGCTGGGAATTGAACTCAGGACCTCTGGAAGAGCAGCCAGTGCTCTTAACCACTGAGCCATCTCTCCAGCCCAGGACAACAGTGTTTTAAATTTTATATCTTTTTATTCTTTTTGTTTGTTTTGAAACAGGGTCTCTTTATGTAGCCCTGGCTGTCCTAAAATTCACTCTGTAGACCAGGATGGCTTCAAACTCATATAGATCCTCTGCCTCTGCCTCACAAGTGCTAGAATTAAAGGCATGAGTCACACCCCAGCTTTTCTTCTTCTTCTTCTTCTTCTTCTTCTCCTTCTCCTTCTCCTTCTCCTTCTCCTTCTCCTTCTCCTTCTCCTTCTCCTTCTCCTTCTCCTTCTCCTTCTCCTTCTCCTTCTCTTCCTCCTCTTCTTCCTCCTCCTCTTCCTCTTCTTCCTTCTCTTCTTTCTCTTCCTCCTCCTCTTTCTCTTCCTCCTCTTCCTCTTCCTCCTCCTCTTCTTCCTCCTTCTCCTTCTTCAATTATACATTCTTTTTTCTTTTTAAAGATTTATTTATGTATGTATGAGTACACTGTCGCTATCTTCAGACACAGCAGAAGAGGGCATCAGATACCACTACAGACGGTTGTGAGCCACCATGTGGTTGCTGGGAATTGAACTCAGGACTTCTAGAAGAGCAGTCAGTGTTCTTAACTGCTGAGCCATCTCTCCAGCCCTTTCTTATGTTCTTAAAGTATCAGGAGGGTTTGTTTGCTTTTTGGTTTGGAGGCTTTTATCATTGGTTTTATTATCATTCCAGGTTTCAAGAAAACAAAGACCTTAAAATTTGCCCCAGAAGAAAAGCCTACTTTAACTTTAGGAGTAGCTTTTAAAAAATGGCTTTTAAAAAGTCCATGACCCAAAGAAAACATCTATTGTATGTTTTGAAGACTTAGCATCCCCTTGCTCTTCGGGGGATTCTTGTGGCTGGCTGTTCTACTTCCCATTTCCCAGCTGTGTGAGATTTAATCTATGCAGAAGTGTTTGACTCCTGTTAGATTTAGAGCAAGAAACAAGCATCATTAGACCAGAAGAAGACAGGGCTCCATGTTGCCTTATCCACCTCAGATCCTGTTGTCGCCTCGCTGGCTCAGGACATCTTCAAGGAACTGTCCCAGATTGAAGCCTGTCAAGGTCCAATGCAGATGAGGCTGATTCCCACTCTGGTCAGCATAATGCAGGCCCCGGCGGACAAGATCCCTGCAGGGCTCTGTGCGGTAAGTTAAGGGCTATGAGTGAGTGAGAGAAGGAAAGAACAGGTACTGCCCACAGATCCCACCTGTGGACAGGACAACAGTCAGAGCTTGGAGATTAGTATACTGAGCTACTCTGTCCATGAGGACAGTGATTGACTGCCTAACATTTTTTTTTAAGGGGTGGGGGGGATTGGCAGCATACCCCTTTAATCCTAGCACTTGGGAGGCAGAAGCAGGTAGCTCTCTAAGTTTGAGGCTAGCCTGGTCTATAGAGTGAGTTCCATGACAGCCAGGACTACACAGAGAAACCATTGGAAAGAAGCGGGAAGTTTTGGCCTGGGTAGTAAGAGTGAATGTGTATGTGTTGTGAGGTATAGTCTTACTATATAGACTAGCTATATAGGCTGACCTTGGACTCACAGAAACCTGTCTGCCTCTGTCTCCCCAACGCTGGAATTATAGGCATGTGCCACCATGCCTGCTGGCATTTTCCCCCACTACTACCAATCTGTGTCTATGTATACATGTTGGGAACAGGAGGACAACCTCTGGTGTCATCCTCAGCAACACAGTCTATCTCCTTTAAAACAAGACCTCTCATTGATTTGAGTCTTGCCAAGTAAGGTATGCTGACCAGCCAGTAAGCCCCAGGAAACTTCCTTTCTCTGCCTCCTCAGCACCAGGATTATAAACGCACATACCATCCTGCCTGTCAATTATAAACACACCCACCCCCACGGCTAATGAAATTATAGCACTCTAGTGGAGCTGAGAGCTCCATGTACCTGACAAGCATCTTGTTTGGATACCTCCCTCCCCAGAAGTAATTCTGACTTTTCTTTCTTTTTTCAGACAGCCATTGATATCTTGACTACAGTAGTTCGAAATACAAAGCCTCCCCTTTCCCAGCTCCTCATCTGTCAAGCTTTCCCTGCTGTGGCACAGTGCACCCTTCACACAGATGATAATGCCACCATGCAGGTATCTGAGACTTGAAGACTGGAAAGAGTTTCCCCACCATAGCCATATAGTAGGATAGGGAATCTGACGTGATAAGTCTGTCAACTCCAAATTTACCCAGAGAGACCCAGTGGGGTTGTGCTTTAAAGTCTGTTAACCATCTTAGAAAGTGTGAATACTAGACATCTGACTATCTGTATTTCTTATTGATGCTCTAGAGGAGCCTATAGATGGCCTCTGTAAAGGTCTAGATTTGAGACCTTCTAAATATTTTGTTGATAGAGTCAACAGACCTGGAGAAGTGAAGGGTGTTGGGTAGTCTCAGGTCTTTATTACTGGGGCTGTTTGTAAAGGCTGTAGGAAAATGATAGTAGATCCTGGTCACAGTAGAGATCCCTAGGCAGACAGTGATTTGTGTGAGGTCCATCTCCATCCCATGAAGACCTTTAATATTCCTAATTATGGCTGCATCTAAGAGGGTTTTTCAATACCAAAGGTAAATCTTTACTGGTAGACCTCAGTGTTCTTGGTCATTGGTCATTATAATGAGAAGTAGGCAGTTTTGAGATAGATAATTGGGTAAAAGAGGGATATGTTAGTGCCTGTCTTTATCTATAAACAATAAATTCCTGTCTGGTGTTAGGAGCCACATGAACCCTATAGTCTTGTTGCTCCCATGAGGTATAGACTTCTGTCGGTAACACTTGGAGGATCTCCTTGCATCTGTTCTCCAATGGCTAATCTTGCTTGTCATTTCTGACCCTGTAGAATGGTGGTGAATGCTTGCGGGCCTATGTGTCAGTGACACTGGAACAGGTAGCCCAGTGGCATGACGAGCAAGGCCACAATGGACTATGGTACGTGATGCAAGTAGTGAGCCAGCTCCTTGACCCACGAACCTCAGAGTTCACTGCAGCCTTTGTGGGCCGCCTGGTCTCCACCCTCATCTCCAAGGCAGGGCGGGAGCTCGGGGAGAATCTGGATCAGATTCTTCGTGCCATCCTCAGTAAGATGCAGCAGGCAGAGACACTTAGTGTCATGCAGGTAAGGACAGTGGAGTACTAGGATTTTGCTGCATGGGAATCAAATGAGTGTGTGGGTCCTGAGTTGTTTTATTCTCTCACTATCCTTGTAGAACAACTAAGTAAAATTGGGTCTGTTCTGGTGCAAGAGACATGAACATGGAAAGCTCCATATTCTAACCTATGAGTGGACTCTGCTGTATATAGACAGATTTATTTTACATGTATGAATGTTTTGGTGCAAGAGACATGAACATGGAAAGCTCCATATTCTAACCTATGAGTGGACTCTGCTGTATATAGACAGATTTATTTTACATGTATGAATGTTTTGCTTGCATGCATATATATGCACCACATACATGGAGTCTAGTCTCTTAGAGCTATAGTTAGAAATGGTTGGGAGCCACTGATGTGGATACGAGGAACTTTGCCCAGCTCCTCAGCAAGAACAACAGTACCCTTAACCACTGAGCTATTTCTCCAGCCCAGACTCTGTTTCTAGTTTGGTTTTGGTTTTGGTTTTATTTGAGGAAGTCTCAGTGTATAGCTCTGGCTAGCCTGGAATTCTCTATATAGACCAGGCTAGCCTCAAACTCAGTGATCTGCCTGCCTCTACTTCCTAAGTATTGAGATTAAAGGTATGTGCCACCATGCCCAGCCTCAGAGTCTGTTTCTTGACTGACTGGCCCATTCCCTCTTCTATGTCTATGAAATCTGTTTTGGGGCTGGAGAGATGGCTCAGAGGTTAAGAGCACTGACAGCTCTTCCAGAAGTCCTGAGTTCATTTCCCAGCAACCACATGGTGACTCACAAGCATCTGTAATGGAATCTGATGCCCTCTTCTGGAGTGTCTGAAGACAGCAATAGTGTACTCATGTATATAAAATAAATTTTTAAGAGAGAAAGATGGGGTGTCTGCGTGGAGAGAGGGGGGGGAGGGAAGGGGAGGGGAGGGGAGGGGAGAGGAGAGGAGAGGAGAGGAGAGGAGAAAGAAGAGAAGAGATCTTTTCCTGAAAAGGGTACCTTTTGTTCTCTTCTAGTCACTCATCATGGTGTTTGCTCATCTGGTGCACACTCAGCTGGAACCTCTGTTGGAGTTCCTATGTAGCCTCCCAGGACCAACTGGGAAGCCTGCCCTAGAGTTTGTGATGGCTGAGTGGACAAGTCGGCAGCACCTGTTCTATGGACAGTATGAAGGCAAAGTTAGGTGAGGCCCCATATATTTTCTCAGAGCTTTCTACTTCTACTCACATTTAAATCTTTCATCCCTGATTTACACCACTGATTTTTGTTTAACATACCTAGCTGTCCCCGTAGTCTCTGTTCTTTCTTGATAACCATATGATTTAATATCTCCATGTTGAAATTCCCAATAAGACAATCAGTAGAGTACAAGGTGTATTTCTGATTTCTGCTAAGAACCTCCTCTTGAACAGACTTTGCCTGGTTAAGTACAGATAGTGTCTTACCCTTCTTTATAAACCCAAGCTTAAGCCTGGTATTGGTAGCGTTCACCTTTAATCTCAGCACTCAGGAGGCAGAGGCAGGTGGATCTCCGTGAGTTCAGGGCCAATCTGGTCTACAGAGCTTGTTCCAAAGCAGCCAGGGCTACACAAAGAAACCCTTCTTGAAAAACAGATGGATGATAGATGGATGGATGGATAGTAGATAGATAGATAGATAGATAGATAGATAGATAGATAACCTTTGCTTTGCATCTCCATAGCCTAGACTTCTGTCTTTTATTCTTCTGGTGCTAGGAACCAAACCCAGGGCCTTGAGTTTGGTAGGCAAGCCTTCTACCCCTGGGCTAAATCCCCAACTTCTCTAGCCTAGGCTTATTCTACTAGGTCTCATCACCCAAATACACTGACCAGTGTGGATAATCATCATGCAGCTTGCTCACCCTAACTTTGTTCAAGATGAGCAGATATCAGTAACCACCTCATGTATACTAAGTCCCTTTCTTAGCTGGACTCTGCTACCTCTTCTAGTTAGTAGAAAAAGAAGTTACTCCATCAAAGAGAGGGTCTTCATTTCTGAGGGTGAGTTAATCTACTTGCCAAAAGCTCTAGATGGGAGCTGACTGGCATTTTCTGGCTCTTGCCAGCTCTGTGGCACTATGTAAACTGCTTCAGCATGGCATCAATGCAGATGACAAGCGGCTACAAGATATTCGTGTGAAGGGAGAAGAGATCTACAGCATGGACGAGGGCATCCGCACCCGCTCTAAGTCAGCCAAAAGTGAGTCATGCTTCCAGTCTCTAGGGGCTGCAGATACCTGGGATGGGGGAAGGGCGACGCTATGCTCTGTGGTTTTATTGCGGGCTTCATAAAGAAGAATCAGAAAACTAAGCAAACAATAAATCAGAATGTGTGGCTCCTTCTTGTTGAAAATCGACAAAAATAATCTTGGGACAATACTCCCCAGCTTCCAGATTCATTCTGGGGCCCTGACAGACGCTCGGCATGTCTTGGTTCTCAATGACCTTTGGCCTGTGGCTCCATGGACTGTCTGTGGGATTGCTGCCCACGATTGCTGTATCAGAAGTTAAGTTCTGGCATCCTGTGCTGGCTTCACAGCTTTGTTCTAGTAGGAGCTGATCTCTAGTCCCAGAACTCTCTTACTTCTCCTTATTTCTGTACCCAGCAGAGTTAAATTTAAATCAGTCTTTGCTGGATATAGTCAGGGTGGCGGAAAGCACTTTAGGGATGTGAACTCTGCTATAGAGCTGTTCAGAAGGGTGGAGTGCTGCCGCATGGAGCTCACTGACAGTCTAACTTGAGGCCTTTTGCTTCCTTCCTAGACCCAGAGCGCTGGACAAACATTCCTTTGTTGGTCAAGATCCTAAAGCTGATTATCAATGAGCTTTCCAACGTCATGGAGGCCAACGCTGCTCGCCAGGCTACTCCTGCTGAGTGGAACCAAGGTGCCCCAGATCCTTACTCCCAGGAGACTTTTAACTTGGAGAATCAAGTTCCATATTGTCAGATGTCAGTAGGTTTATTCGGGCACAGATTTAAAGTGTGTGGTGTGGAGTGTTGCTGAAAAGCTGTGCCCTGGCTGACACTATCAGGTCTACTCAAATCTCAAGGTTGAAGGAGAGGGCAGCTGGAAGCCAGCTGCCTTATTCCTTCATAAAAGCTTTGGTTTTTCCATTCAAATACCTGGGAGGGTTTTGGTGCTGTCACACTGGGGACTGGGGACCACATTGCAGAAGACCTCAGGGCCCATCTGTTCTGACCTAGTAAGATCTGGGGAGGGAAGATGCATGACTGTTTCAGCTGCTTTTCATCTTCAAATAGATGATTCCAATGATATGTGGGAGGACCAGGAGGAAGAGGAAGAGGAGGAGGAAGATGGTTTAGCTGGCCAGCTTTTATCTGACATTCTTGCTACAAGTAAATATGGTAAGCCATTTGAGAAAAGACAGAACACGGTAAATACCGTTTCTTTGCACACTTGGGCCAAGAATGGAGTATCTAAGTAAAAGGAGATGTGGGCTTATGTGGGATGCTCCTGGGGCTTTTGTCCCTTCTGCCTCAGCCATGCAGTAAATGCCACCTCAGGCCTGATGGTAGGCCTCCGTCCTGACTCGCCTGTGTTGGCTGTGTCTAACAGAGGAGGATTACTATGAAGACGATGAGGAAGACGACCCTGATGCCCTGAAGGATCCTCTCTATCAGATTGATCTGCAGGTGAGAAGATGTCTTACAAGTCACAAACTCTTTCAAAGCATGGAAGCAATATTATGGGTTCAAGTCCATTCATGGTTCATCATTAGAACTGCAAGAAAGTGGGAGTGGGTGGCTGTCTATTTGGGTGTTCAGGGCCCTGGGGCAGAGAAGGATGCTGGGATTTTTATCCCGTCATCTGTACCAGCAATAATCACTCAAAAGTGAGTCTACTTTGTGAACATTCTCTGGGTGGAATAGGAGATGGCTCCCTGTGGCATTGTCACTGAGTTGTATGTACATCAGATCCACAGATGTGAAAACCTACCCCTTAAGCTGGCATTTGTCTGAAAACCAGCATTCCTGTACCACTTGCTGGTGGTCCTTATCCTGCTGCATACTGCTAGTCTTGGGGATGTTTGCTGATGCCTCTCTCCTTCTTCCTGCAGGCGTATCTCACAGACTTTCTTTGCCAGTTTGCTCAGCAGCCCTGTTATATAATGTTTTCATGCCACCTTAACGACAACGAGAGGCGGGTCCTACAGACTATTGGCATCTAAAAAAGAAAATCTTCAGCTTGTTCTCCCTCTCCTGGCCCAGCCACAGACAGTTCTACAGCCCTCTCCGGCCTTGAGATGCACTTTTTCTCAACCTGGAGTGGCTTCTGGCCCTCGGCCTCAACAGTGACACTGACACTCAGCCCTTGCTTACCAGGGCTGGCATTTTAAAAGCTAAAGCAAAGAACATTTATCAAAGTCCTGTGAAGATACCCCAAACCTGGAACTGTCTTTCTCCCCAGCTCTGCCCCCCTTCATTCCTAGCATCCTCTGTTGGGCAGACCAGAAACATTGATACCTAGGATGTGGGTTCCTGATTATTTTGCCCCACCTCAGGAGCACAGGAAGTCACTACCATTAATATTCAGAAATATACCTGTTTGCTGTCATAGGACATCTGATGTGTTCAGATAGGAACCACTTAAAAGATCATTATGCTTCCTGCCCTCAGCCAGTGACGCTCTAGGTTTTCAGTAAGAACAAGCTGGAGCAGCCACATATTAAGCCATTTCCAGTAACCTCACCTTCATACTTTCCTCATGCAACACTAAGGGTCCTCTGTCAAAGGCTCCATCTTCCCATCTTTGCTTCATTGCATGACACAGCCCCTCCCCCAGGCTGTTCCTATATATACATGCACACAAAGCAAGCCAGGCAGATGGCAACTTGTCTTTTTTTTTTTTTTTTTTTTTTTTTAGAAAAAAATATCAGGAAAAAGATTTTTATTTCTAAATCTGCCTGACCTACCTATATTTAATATGCCTCTTCTGCACATAACCACAGAGTCTGATATTCAAAGGTGTCCCTATCCCTCAGGAATCCTCTAAAGTGAGTTGTAGCCCTCAAATTTGCAACATGTATTTTTCTAGGACAGTAAAGCAATCTTTACAAATGAATTTAGTCTGCATACTCTAAGGTGTCTCAACACCTCTACCTTCTGTTTCTTCCCTCTAGAAGCAAAGTAAAAACAGAAGAAAGCATAGCATATTTTGGCATCCCACTGTGATTTGGCAAGCAGCTCAGAAATCTTAGAGAACTGATATTTTTCATCCCGGTATGTTTAAGAAGTCAGTGCTACAGCATGTGGATGGCCCTAGGTTCAGTCCCCAGTACTACAAAAATAAGGGGCATCCTGCAGTGGGTTTCCCTTGTGTTACGAGTTGAGAGTGGATGAAGATTGAGGGCAGAGTAGTTGCCCAATTCCCTTCGATAGTGCCCGGGTCTGGTGCTCCTTTTTAATAGCCAGAGCTATTTCTTTGGAGCGATGCTCTAACAAAAAGGAAAGGGAATGTAGCAGTACCTTGGGCTCCTTTTTTTTTTTTTTTTTGGTTTTTCGAGACAGATTGGGCTCCATTCTTAAGCAGAAGCGTAACTGTATAGCAGGAATAAGGCCTTTCCTGGAACCTGAGGACTTGGCAGCTTGTTATTGACTACACCACCAGATGTCCTTAGTGTTCAACCTTTATTCAGAGCACTAAAGTGCCCACTTTCTTTGTAAGATCCTAAGAAAGTGTGTATAGTTGTCTTCTAGCTGGCAGTGTGGAGACCAGTATTGCCTCTGCCCTTGCTGCTTTTCTTCCTGAAGTTGAAGTTCCCGATAAAGAGAAATGATAACATAACTGCCCAGTGGTAACCAGAACACCACAGTAGGAGCTTTGGAACCTTGTTCCATAGTTGACCTCAAAGCCAACCGGATTTGGTGCTAAAAACAGTAGACCATTCCACATGATGAAGTCCTCCAGTGGTTTTGACACGTTAGAATAGTACCAGGTTAGCAGCATTGGCCTGCTGAATTTGAGGAAGCTTGGAGGCCCCAGTTCATATGCCGACAGTAATGTGGATCCATTCTAAGCCTGTACTTTACAACAGTTCCCAATGTGTAGTGCCAAAATTAGTCCAGAGAGCCTGTCCTGTTCTCATGTTTCACTTTTGGTGGGAGGGCTAAACTCCTGCCTTAGGAAAACTTGAGAAACAGGTTCCTAGGAAGCCACCCTGGCCAACATACATAACTGATTGGAAGTGGAGGGGCTTATGCACCTTGATGGACAGATGCTTGTTTTTTCAGAGCATTTAATGTCTGCAACACAGTGAAATCCCCATCCTGCTGAGAGACTGTCCTAGGAGCAAGGAGAAAGCTCTGTTGGTGACTTGGTGTAACAAAGTTGAACTCCGGCTCATAGTTTGTCTCCTACGAAAACCAACTCCACTTGGGAAAGGGGCGAGTCGGACTGTGGAAAACTAAGAAAAGACCAGTGAGCTCATGAGAGAGGCGTGGGCTCCCCGTGGTGAAGGGTTTCCAGTGGGTGAAACACTGGAAAGCTAAAGAATGGATAAGATGCCAAGAAAGGGAGTTGTTTCACAAGTCACTAAGAAGCGTGAAGCTACAGCAAATGGTTCAAAAGCAGATGGATATCAGCAGGGAAAGGAATGGCCGGGGCTGAGGTGGCCATGGTGAGCTAAAGCGGTTAACTAATGGAAACAAGCTTCCGCTCCTGTTACCCGTTATACCCCCGGGAAGTAAAGTGAGCACTGGCTAGCCTGGCTACAAGCTGGCCCTTTGTGGGAGAATTGGGGTGGGTCTTTGCTATGGCGATAAGTAGGTTTATTAATGCCAAGAAGTTTGAAGCCATTTGCAAAAGAAACTGACCTAAGGAAAGAATGCCCATCAAATATTAGATGACAGGAAACCTCTAAGAAGGGTGACATCTAGGATCCAAGTAGATCAAGTCATATGGAAAGGAGATTGGCAACAGTATTTATCAGGAAGATTGGAGTACTGTGTACCTCATTAAAAGTACTGAGTGTTAAGAGTCCAGGAAAACTCCAGCGTGGGCCCAGGTTATGGTGTAGGGTACTGCAGATTTTCCTCCACCTCTGTCCCTCTCAGTGATCCTGAGTGATGACAATACTCTGTAAAAGGACAGCTGAGGCCTGAACTGTTCAGGGGAAGCGGTGACATGGCTGGGAAGGCCGGGCTCAGGACAGCACTTAAGCACGTGGTGGGTTGGTTCATTGACCAGTGCCGCCCTGCTCCAGCCCACCAGGCAGACCAGCTGTGCCTGAGTACATAATAAAAAATGCATTTCTGGCTCCTGTCAGTTTCAGTGAATGTTAAGGTTCTGTCAGGTACCGAAGGCCAATGCCGTAGGCTTTTCTCAAGAAGCTAGTCTAGGGCTCCTTGGTGGTGCCCACCTTAAACCCCAGCACTTAAGAGACAGGCAAATCTCTTGAGTCCAAGGTTATCCTGGCCTACAGGATACAAGTTGTCTGCGGGTGGGGCAGGGGAAGCTGATTATGAGATCAGAAATCAATAACAAATGAGGCAAGTGCTATAGGAAAAATGGGTACTGTGTACTGTCACCTCCACCCACAAAGACTGGACTAGCAGTAATGGGATTGAGGCTGAGTCACTGCCATAAAAAAGTGACCCTTCAATAAAGTGTCTTGCTAAAATGTGAGTGCTGAAATGCTAAGCTGTTGAGCGTGTTTATGTGGATGACCTCACACCTGCTAACCTTGCAAAAGGATCCTTTCCCTTAACCCTTTTACAGAGGAGAGCAGATACTGAATGTTGCCTGCTAGTATGAGATTACTGTCCAAGAAGCCTGTACTTAGCATAGTTACTCTCAGCTCTCCTGTATGTTTGTCAGACAAAGGTAGGGTAGGATATTCTAGAGAGGTGGATGGTGACTATTTAAGATTGTCATGAAGTAATTGCATTTGAAGAGCTTTTTTTTATAAGCACTGTAAAAATGTTAGAATGAGCTTGGCGTGGTACAGCACACCTGTAATACTAGTAGAGGGTGAAGTGGGCAAAACTTTAAATTTCAGGCCAAGCAGGGCTACATAGTGAGCCCGTCTTTTAAAAAAACAACCACAACAAAAATGGAGCTTGAAGTATAGCATACTGGTAGAGCACCCACAAGGCCCAGGGTTCTACTCCCCACATCAGCACCCGGCTAGAAAAAAAAAAACATTAAGGTATTGTAGTTCCTGGAGTCTAGGCCAGAAATAAAGCTGTAACGATACATTGAGCCAAATAGTGAAGGCTCCAACAAGGCCTGCTTCCTCTAGAGAAAGGCTTTCCACCTAAGAGAAACTAAAAGTGGTTTGGAGCCTGAGCTGAGTGGGAGGCGATGGAAGGTAGGAATGCCATCTGGCAGCAGATCTGGGTGGAAGAGCTGCTGCGGCGTGTGCTGAGACCAGAACCGGGGTAGAAGAGTTCAATCAGTGAAACCTCATGAGGGCTTGATGACCCCTGGGGGAGAGGTTCCCCAAAAGGACACTATTTTCTCAGTGTTAGCAGGTCCTCTGCATCAGAGGAGTCAAACATTCTATTGGTGGTCATATGACCAAAGCCCCACTCACACAGATTGACACTAGATCTCAGTGCTTTATGAAGATTCCAGTCGCAAGCAGTCAAAAGTACATGTTAATAAAATTACGAAATCAGTGACCCATTTGCCTTTCTGTGAGGATAATGCAAGTTGGCACCAGCCAGCTAATGATCTCATTTTTTTTGGTTTCGTTTTGTTTTTAGATGATTACAAAAGGTCTCTCATGCCTGTATGGCAAGCGTGCAATGAGAAGGAAAACAGTGAGCCACTGGCCTAACTAGAAGGCCCAGGAAAGCCCTTCAAGTCTTGGCATAGCAATATAGTTGGAAAAGGGGCTGGGACAGAATGCTATCCTGTGAACCTTGGTTTCCCTGACTGTAAAATGAGGGACTGATGCCCAGCTCACAGGAATTTGAGAAGAGTCCCATCCTAGCCCCCGCCACAGAGCGAGAGCTATAGCTGTATCTGGCTCGACTTGCCTGGTTGGATTTGACTGTGACTCAGTTGAGCCTCACAGATGTCAATGCTGCTGCTAAATCAAGGCTCAGTAAGCCTTTGGGAGGACAGCTCTGTAGACCTGCCCCAGCTCCCACCTACCACCCACTATGCAATTTCCCTGTGGTTATCTCTGACAAATTATCGGTGTATTGGTTTGCTTTCGCTTTTTCCCCCCACCTCTCATTCTCACAACATAATTAAATTCTTTGTAATTCATCACCTTAGTGAGTTTTGAAAAGTAGAAAACCACTGCATGAGGACAGCTATGCTTTTAGATCCAAAGGTGGGAAAGCTCAGTGAAATCAAGCCCAGAGCCTGGAGGGAGGCGGAGGTAGACTCCCGCAGTAGGAAGTCCTGGAGCCTGAGTCAGGACCTGGTGAGAGACTTTGGGAGAAGGCTGCATGGGATACCAGAAGAGCTCTGTACCTAGGGTATGTACACAGGCTGGAACTTATTGCATATCATAGAGCATGTGATAAAACCAGAGCAAACAGACCTGGAGTGCTTACCCCAACGTTTGGCACTAAATTCCCCCACTAGGTGGTAAGATAGACTCAGT